CAGCTTTTTTTTTTTTTTTTTTTTCCCTTCTAGTCTCATTCCCCTTGTGTTTTAAAATTTTTAATTTGGAGACAAAGTGTATTCTTATCCACTTCAGCCCCAGTAGTTTTCATGCCCTTTATTTCAGTAGCTCTTTTCTCACTTGAGATTTACTGTATTTATAGCCTCCATAGTCTCTTTTCTCCAAGAAAAGAGAGGGAGATGTCAGCGACTATGTATTGGTTTGGTGTGGTCGAATCAAAGCAAAATCAAAAACCTAGCAGAGCCAATGAATACACCTAGGCCTCAAGAATAGTTGGAAGAGAGGAAAGATTCATTTCTAAATATCGTGACTTATTTAGTACACTCTTCTCAGAAAAAAAAGAAAATCCTATAAACTAGCTGAAATCCTGTCTTGTTCTTGGCATAAGCATCTCTACTATGTAATATCTAAATATGCAAAATTTTATGTGTACATTGCCACTGCTCAGAAATCCCACAATCTGTTGTAAGGGGAAACAACATAGGATGATGGCTGTTAAGTGCTGTACAAATATCATAAGCATATCAAATCCATGTTTCTTGTCTTAGAGCTTGTGAAATCTAAGAGTACATTTTCTTTTTTATCAAACAGTCGCTCAGCTTCTATATTTCTCAGCTGTTTATGTAACCGTAAAGCAAAGATTACGAAGGACAATAACCCCAGGAGACTAAGCACAACTACTATCCCACTTTAAAAACTCAGCCAGAAAATATGGTAAGATAAAATTATAGAGCTGGCTTAAATACACAGAAAGCAAGGGAATTCCCAGCCAAGCCTGGAAATCCAGCTTGACATTCCCTCTTTAACACCAGGGCTAGTAAAGAGGGAGAGTGGGGCCAGAAATATCTTATTCTCTGGGGTGCAAAGCACATTCCTAATGCAACCTTCATGCAGCTTTGGTGTTTTCCTTTCCTTCATGCAGCTTTGGTGATTTCCCTTCCTTTCAAATCTGCTGCAGCCCAACACCCACTTTTTTTTTTTTCCTTTAGATATAGATGTTTACAGCTATTCATTTTATAAAACATTAACAATTCATGGCCAGCTCCCCTGAGCTCAGGCCAGAAGCTGGAGGAGTGCGCCAGCAGTTGTGCCTTGCTGGGGCCCTGCTTAGCATGTGCTTTGGTGAATTGCACTGCCATTTCTGCTTCCTTGCCTCTAGCCATGCCCTCAGCCCTTGTGCAAACACTTCCCAGGCTGGGGAGATGGAAGTGGGTGGAAAGGAGCRAACCTGCTGCTTTGGACTCACTAGGGACCTCCCCAGTAACAAGGGAACCTGCCCCAGGCTACTCAGACCTCCTGCTAATCATCTCCTAGATGAAATATAAAAACACAAAGACATCTATGTGTTTTTGAAATAACTTCTAATGCTACCAAACTATAACAGGTAGACAGCTAATTTTAAGGGGAAAGCAGGGTTTGAGCTACATGGCGCTACCAGGACTCTGCAGAATGGATGTGTAACATCAGAACAACTGCTACTGAAGCTGGACAGGAGATATTTTTCCAGTTTCTAGGTGTTTGGGGTTTTTTGTTTGTTTGTTTGTTTGTTTTTTCTGAGAGTTCAAATTCTTTCTTGTCCATAACGAGGACAAATCCCAGCTGTCAAAGCCTTTTGTGCGAAGAGACTCCATGTATTTACTAGTGGAGCCGACAAATGTCCGTGTGGGCAAGCGCCTGCCTTGTAAAAGAACACATGGCTGAGGCACTGAAATGCTGCTTTTCATGTCCAAGAGGACCTCCCTGAGCACCAAAATGTTTTACAGTGTTTTTGCAAATGCCTCCACGTCACACATGGCCCAGGCTGTATCAATAATTAAATGTACACAGCTACAGCGCCTGCTGCCTGGTCCCTTGAGCTCTAGCTGAATGCCCTCGCTGCACGGCTATCGAGTCAGTCTCTCTTGCTTTATTTGCCTTGGTTCAATTATTTATACAAAATGAAACTGCCTTAGAAGCTTAACAGCCTCTAAAGTCTTCAGAAAGACTAAAATGCTTTGAAAAGTTGCTGGTCAGCACCTTAACCAGTTCAAAGCCCTCCTCCCAGCAGTGTTTGCCTCCTTATGCAAAGTGAAGCATCCTCAACAGGTGACCCTGGGGATCTCTGCAGGAGCTCTGCGATCCTGCTTGAATCTGAAAGCTTAATCACACTGGCCATTGGTTAAGTGTCCTCCATGTATGCATGTTCAGGATGACATTTAAATTCTTATCAAAAAAAAAAAAAAAAAAAAAAAGGAAAAAAAGAAAGAAGTTTGCAAGCTCTTGATACGCAACTGCCTTTTCCTCTCCATTTTTGGATACCAAGCAGCAATGTTTTCCACACCCTGTCAGCCTTAACCTTAGTGTTAGCATGGAAAAAGCAGTTTCAAGTTCCAGCTGTGAGCCAAATAAGCCTTAGCAGGGACTTACAACTGGATGTCTCACCCGCTAACAATTAATCTCCATGGAGACAAAGATTTCTCTTATCTGCAAGTTTGATCAACATTTCTGTCCTTTTTTAGTCTTTTTTAACCTGAGAATAAGCACATGGTAGAAGATGACCTCAAAAAGTTAGCCATCACTGCAGAGCAATCCATGCCTTTACAAGAAATGTGTAAAACTACAAACTTAAGAAGTCTCAAAAGGCTSTACTAGTTTATACAGCTCTCTAGGAATGTAGAGAGCTCCTCATCCTTCAGTGCAAGCTTACTTTATTAAAAGTACATACACTTCAAACACATCTGCAAAGCTCTCTGTATAATTACTTTTAAAAAATACAAATGGCTACAAAAGAAAAAAAAAAAAAAAGACCGACATTCCTGCATAGTTTCAGATTTAAACAATTATAATTTTTGGATTTTTATATATGATGATGAAAGCAGGAATGCTCTGTAGAAATGCTTGCAGGGCCTTATCGCTCAGTAATTAACAGTAAACAGCCTTTAATAGGAATGTTGCAGTGCAAGTTTTAAGCCAACCTCTTCAATTCTGCATAAATGATGTAACCTTTTTAAATTGTAAGGGAGTTATTTTAAAAATGTACTTAAAAACCACTCTCATCCGTTATAGGCAGTTAWGAAGATTATTTCTAAGGGCTCCTGTTTGATTCTTACCTTTCTAAGTTGTTCTGAAACTTTCCATATGGGAATATATTGTAACCCTATTTCAAGCCAAAACCTAGCTGCCTTATAGTAAATGCTRTTTTTCTACTTTTATGATGTTTATAGAGGATACCTTTATTCTAGGTTTTATTCTATCCTAGGAAGCTTAAAGTCTGTAAACTCCTGAGGTGTGACTGCCTTCTCCTCCCCCATTCTGAGCACAAGAAACATTTGTGCTTTTCATACCTCATCAGAAGTTACCTTGGTGCTTATTTGGGAAAAGCAGGTCTTACATTTAGCACCAAGAGACTGATAAGTGAACCTGCAATGGTACGAGGCACTTTCAATGCCCAAGAAGAGGGGTTGTGCATTACAGCTGTGCTCTCCCATGGCACCAACTCTCCCAGCACAGCCACCTCTGTGCAAAGCTGCAGCACAAATACACATTTTACTTGCATGATTGGACTTTATTTCATCCTATCATAATGAAAATGGGTATTGTGTGATTTTTAGTCTACTATTTATCTACCAAGATGGATAGATATGTCTGTAACCCATGTAATTTAATGTCTCCTGAAGTCCAGGTATTGTGTCTGCTATTATATTAAATAAATCAGTGAAGAGTGCTTATAGTTTACAGAGCAACCCCTGGCTGCAGAAATGAAATGTAATAGACCTAAATCTGTCCTCTCAGTGGTCCAGATGAGTTTTGACAAAACTGAATTTAATGGGTCAAGAGTCAGATTCATGCAGCATACCATAATAAAATACATATACATCTCAATATACAGATATAGATCTATTTATCCAATACATATACCCTGTATATAAATATATCATATGTATATATTGTTTATTCTAAGTGTAATAGCAACCAGGGATTGGTTGTTCTACAGAAAGCTATGTTGTTAAAAGCTAGTCTGCTATTACACTTCCAAAATTTACATCAACAATTTGCACAAAATTGCAAAACCACATAAAAACCCTGGACCTTAGCACAGATGTAAATATTGTGGCCAGAAGAGAAAAATATCTAAGCACAAAATATTTTTGTGATTTCAGAAACAGGACTGCAAGCCTGACAGATGCAAGAAACATGTACAGCAAAAGTTGCTTGCCAAATCTTTATAAAAATTAAAATATAAATTAACTCAAAATAACTACATTTACTTCGGTCTCACTGGATCACTGAAATCAGATGTCAGTTTTTTCAAATCATAGATATTCATTTCCAAGAGTGTTTGTATGTTTGTACAGATAAAATCCASCCTAATTCTACTTAAGATGGTGAAATTTTCACTTCAGTAGAACTGGATAAAGCGCCTAAATGCATTTTAAAGTGTTTTGGTGAAAATATAATCTAAATATGAACCTAAAACCAGGTGTGTAACAAAACTATCCTTCTCACCGCACACATACAAGGAAGCAGCTACTGGGCTGATTAGTTACCTGCAAACAATAATGTAAGTTAGTGTGCCTTGTTTCAATTTCAAAATTGAAATTTCAAAATATTAAATCATTGAACAATACCTTGGGAAACCAGATCTCCTTTCATTTTTTTCACTGTCACAAGTACTGACAGCTCYGGCCTGCTCAACATACACAAACCCACAGGTGCTCCATTTGCTCTTGCAGAAAAACTGTTTTAGTTATCCTTCCCATAGAAGTTTTAAATTTAATCCCACTTCACAAATCTTCATGTAATTAAACCAAAAATATAGCTTCCTTTATAAAAATATTTTCTTTTATGATTCACTTTCAATTCATTTAACTGCTTTAAGACACAACTCTACTCCAAATAAAAGATGAGGGTGCATGTCCCAGATGGAGAAGGAACAAACCTGAGTGATAATCGTTAAAGGCCACATGAATGTAACCAGATAAGCGTACACTTTACATACCATTGAGCCACCTGGAATCATGCTGCTCTGTTCGGATGGGATGGTGATGCCCCAACGTTCGGAAAATGGCAAAGTCTCTGCCCATGAAGTCCGCTGCRGTCCCGGAGTACAATTCACCATCTGTGGGATGACACAATTGTAAACAGTATTTCTTGCTTCTCAAGTCATGATAGGTCAGCAATGTATACTACTAATAATAACGTGAAAATCGCAAGAGTGATAGACCATATACAGTGTGAGCTTAACTCAAGTAAACTGTAGGTAGTGACTGCTAATGCACCTTTTTTAAGGCAATAAGCTTAGACTCTTACCCTGTTTTGGTGATAGCCTGTACAGTGATCCTGGCATACAGCAGGATGTGGCCCTAAAAAAACATGCCTAGTTTGGGCATGAGAGACATGGAGACTTCAAGAGACACCCCAAATTTCTYTGTGGTTCTGGGTTAGGAGAGGGATAATTCAGTGTGCTAATCCTTAGTTTAGAAAGTCATTGAGCCCTTCAAAGTGTTAATATAGAAATTGTTGGCTGGTTTTTGTTTGTTGGGATTTTTTTTTCCTGTCTTTACCGGCAAATGCTGTGATGACAGCATCTTCTACAGGGAAGATGGATGATGCCTTTTTCTTTCTGTCACCTTTGTAACTGCAAGACTGTCAAAGAAAGTCAAGGAGTGAACAAATGAGATCATCCTCTGCTACCTCAACCCCACACATATCACAGTGAACAAGTGAATTAAAATTGACCTATAGTCTCAACTCATAAATGGCACATACACAGCCTCGCTGAAAATATTAGAGTCCTTGTGTGCTCCTCCTGAACCAGTGAGAAGAATTACAGAGGAGAGATAGATGTAATATAAATTCAAAAGACCAGGTCAAGTTAAATRTGGATAAGGGAATAATAACTACATAGTAATCAGATCTACAGAAGACATMCAGGGATCAAAGTATAGCACATATTTTGGGGGGAATTAATGAAGAGCTTGTCCATGGAATTAGTCTGAATTCAAAGTGCTAAAATGTCTTTCTAAAACTGTGCATTTTCATGCCTGTATATGAGATGAGCTACTTTATGCTGTCCCTTTAATAGGGAATTAAAAAAATACATATCCTTCCAACTGCTATTTTTAAGCTACCCATCTTAAGAGATCTTCTCCTATGGAAAAGATAAGTTTGAGGATGAAACAACTGTTTCTTTAAGTTAAGGTAATAAATTTTTCATGGTCAAGATGAACTCTACCATATCCYCATTTTAAAACACCCTTTAGAAACAAGTGGATGATTTTCATGGCCATTTTAGGTATTTCCATGGTGGTACAACCACATCCAAGCAAGCCCATTGAATATCACTGGGATCTTTTTCCCAAGAACATTGACAGCATGAAATTATCAATTGAACGTACAGTAGCTCTTTACCATATGGTAGTCATGAAAGTCAGGAAGGGTGAAAACATGATAGCAGAAAGGCGTGGAATTGAATGAATTCACAGCAGAGATTACAAGCAAATAGACCAGTCATGCCCGGCAGGAGGTGTAATCAGAAGTGAAACAGAACAGCATATCATTAATTAACGATTTATCATTCCTCTATGTCATTTTCCACTTTCTTAGAGGGGAGACAATCACTTAATTATAGTGATTATTATGTATAGAGTAGCTGTGCAGCTGAGATTTTAGAGAACAGAAAACTGTTTTGCCTGTGAAAGTGGCTTTGATGCTATGCTTAACCTTTCTTTAACCTTATTCTCATTTTCCTGTCTTCTACACCCCACTGAGTTAGGATAAATCAATATAAATCAAAAGTGTAGGGCAGGAGGAACCAACATGACTTATTTTTATTCTTAGTTATCAACAGATGGAAAGATCAATCAAGAAAAAAAAATCCTATATTTAATGCTACATTGTTAAAATAGCTCAATAATTTATTAAAAGTACATATCTGTACAGATTTGAAACTTGAGGGGTTAGGCATATCAACTTCTAGCTCACTATACAGACACCATAGAAATTAATGTGTCTTCTGGGTTTGACTCAGTTCATCCCAAAACTATTTGTACTGCTGTGCTCTTGTTCTGGCTTGCATTTTTTTTTTTTTTTTCAGTGGTGATAGCATAAGAGTTTTATCAACAATGGGTTTCAGTGTGTTACAAAGGAAGAAAGAGCTGTAGGAAACCAGCAGCCTTTTCTTTATTTTCTACAACAGCTCTTCTAAGTTTCAATATACTGACCCTATCAATATACTTAGCCTACAGATTGAATGGAATCACTTTGATTGCCAGCAGGAATGGATTCAAGATCCACTGAAGTCAGTGGATTTCAGACACAATCTTTAAATTGGGGAAAACGGCATAAATAGCCCACCATGCACCACGGCTGCAGATCAGCCCTTCGTGTTTTAAATATGTTCTCATCGCCGCAGCCCTACCCTTTCTTATTGTCAGCAGGATCAGATGTGTGGTACCACAGTCATGCAAAAATGGGATTTGCACTTAGAGAAGTAGACAAGAAATACCATTTCTTTTCGTGATTTGGAGAGATTATTGACAAATTAAGGGTGAGCTTCAACTGTATTCCTTGATGCAAGACTATTCAAAAGTTATACTAGAATTTAGCCTTCTGTTTATTTTTTTGTTGTTGTTCTCTATGAAGACGTTCTTTTGAACCCTCACTGATCTAGAAAGTTCTTCTTTTGCATCATTATTTTTGTTGGTAGCAATTTTAAAGACATTTTTCACTAATGAAGTGGAAATTAACAATCCCAAACTGAGAAACTACTAAAATAAAAGACTAAATAAAAAGAAATGAATTGTCACTTTGTACTTCAAGTCCAACAGTGTAAGGCAAGGACTATGATTTTCTGTTCTGATGGGCCTCCCATGTTTTCACAGGAAAAAAAAAAACTCAGAAAACGTTTTGAACAAAAGCCACTGAGGCTATAGCATACTGACACATGGAACACATATATTGACTTCACTAAATAAAGAGGTGACAACTAAAGCCTGTATATACTGCTGGTTTAGAATGAAACCATTTGTTCCCACATACTGAATGGGAGCAGCACAGCGCTGCAAGACCATTTCCTCAGCATCTTCCAGTCACATTAGGTAGAATGATGTTAAAGAATACATTTATTTTCTCTTTTACATTTATTTACATTTATTTGGCTTTATATAATAAAGCCAAATATTATATATTATTTATATTATTTACAATTATTTGGCTCTTAAGGAGAACAGTATACTTTATATATAGTATTCTATATATATATTTTATATATATTTTCTGACACAGGTAGAAGTGTCAGCTTCCTTTTTGAAAGCAACAAGAAAGTTCAGCAGATTAGGTTAAGGTTATCAGAAAAAACTTCATGTTGGTCTGACTTYACTGACATTCAGCTGAAATGCCAATCCCAGAGGCTAGAATAAAGCTTTGAATTATGAACCTTGTGTGTACTTAGAGTTACTTTGGAGGAGAGCAGATGAGGACAGCAATGTTCTTCCTTGGTAAGAAGCCATCATCCTTCAGATCACATTCAGATTAATCCCTATTTTGGAGTATTAAGGCGCTAAGGCTGATACAAAAAATATTTTAAARTATATATAAAAGAAATGAGTGAGACACAGCATAGATAGCTTTGAGGATACTGTATTATCAGTGCTTTCAAAAATCTCAAAGTGGGAATTCCTGAAGAACATCTGACTGATAATAGAACAAGGGATATCTCATTCTCTGAGTTTTCTTCARCTATACAGATACAATTGTTCTATACTAATATATTTCAGAGACAATTTTCTACAGTGATTACTTTCTTTGAAAACTCTGCTGCCTCTCATTTTCCTTCTGCCCTGAAATACTCACTAGTGGTACCCAGGGACTAGATACTCTCTATGTTTTAATGCATTAGCCCACTCAAATGGAGACTGTTTAGTTAGGAACATATAGATTGGGAATGGATGAATAATGTCTTATGTTATTAGGAACTGGTTATATCACGTTCCCAGCTGGCGTTTACTTAAGAGTAGAGAAGCAATAAGTACCTTTAATGAACAACTCTTAAAAAATAATGAAAAATGTTTGCAGGTGGATGAAACAGGGAATGCGTAGTGGAAAAGTATTGGAACAATTTAATAATGATGAACTGTTTGTTTAGGGTTTTTTTCAAGTATTATTGAATTTTATAAGGAGGCAGAGAAAACTCATTTTTTTTGAACCGTTATAAGAGTTTCTTTCATTCAGTGGAAATACAAAACAAGAAAGCTGAGTACAAATGGCTTTTAAAAATCTTAGGTTACTTTTGGCAGATTATCCTTGGTGCTTTGCCTGAATTCCAGCATGGGTAATTACATTTCACTTTTACCTAAGACTCACCTTTTGGCTATTGAGTCAAAAATGTTCTCTTTGTAAACTCTCTGTTTAATATTTCTGGCAAGGAGAGGCTATTTCCCTGCCCCATACACACATTACTCTCATTTCTCAGCCCTCTCTTGTCTTCTTTACAGGTATGTTGTGTTATAACTATAATGTTGCAGTTTTATGATTGTAAGTTTATCAATTTACACCCACATTCAATGAACCCGGGATAATCCCTGGTTGCTCTTGAGYAGAAATATTTCTGGCAGTTGAAAGGCCAGGTGTATTAGAGCTGTCACTCAGCTATGAAGAAGGGAAGTACTAGTTCAGCTTTTCTCTTCTTAAAGAAAACTATTTTGATGAAACGCTCATGGTCAAGGGGCCCATCTTTCAATTGTGGTCCTATGCACTGTTTCAGCTCCCTGATATCTACTTCAGGATCCAACTAGACCAACCCTTTCCATACAGTCACTGCTGGGCCAGTTTGTTCTACTCTCTTCTTCATTTATCCAGGTGGAATCCACCTACTCTGGTAGAGGAAATTATTTTACTTTGGGTCAACATGGTTTCATTAAATTTGTGGTTTTGGCAAAAACAGAATATACCACAGTGGACCAGTGGTGACTTTGGCATACTCTTTCTTAAATACCAAGGGAAGCTATGTGGCAAAGGATTTAAATAAATGCAGTACTATAATCATAAACACAATATGSCAATAAGGTAGTTATAAGAATCACAGAAAAAAAGCTGTTTGTTTTTGATGATAGAGGAATGTTACTTTTAGTTTTGCCCTGCATTTTAGATCAGTGACTGAAGTTAAAAGTCTAAATGAAAGTTAAAAGGCTAAYTGAATAATCCATTTTTGCCATCTTCTCTAGTGCTAATGAACTCGTGGCTCTAACTGAATTCTGATTCAAAGCAAAATATGATGCTTTGTCTACTGTTTATTAGGAGGAAAAACACATGGAGTAAAAATGATAGTGAGAGGGAGTGGGCTCATGAAAGCAAAGATGTTTTAAAGCCATGAAATCCAAGCCAAGGGAAATAAGATAATCATATTTGTGCAGGACTGAGTTTTTTTTTTTTTTTTTTTTTTTTTTTTTTAAAGGAATGTGAAAAGCTAGACGCTGTTGACTTTATGCAGTTACATACTGGGTATACCGTGTAATACTGGATTGTCATAATTTTCTTTCTTTATTGTATATTAAAGTAAATAGTCAAGTCATTCCCTTGAGAGCAGCTCTGCCACAAATTCAAGTTGCTCCAGGCACTAATTTATACACTGGCCTTTTACACACACATTTCTTTGCTGTTTTTACAGGGTGCAAGTTGGAGCAAGATGAGGATGGCTTTCTTGTTTTTCTTTTTCTTCCTTTTTTTTTTTCTTTTTAAAAAGTGCATTTCCTCAGGGTAGCTCCTCACCAATTTGGGGGTTCGAAGAACGCGGCACACTCAAGAATAAATTTTTGACTATCACTTCTAAATATCTTATTCTTAAATGCAATGTAAATATAATATAGAGAAGTTCATAAGGAAGAATGTGGTCAAAATCTTGGAGAAAACAATGTATCTAGTTATAAATCATTTCCCACAGAGTTATTAGACACAAGAATCTGAACACTTCTGAAACTCTTTTTGTCCCCTTGGATTTGAAGCTATAATTAATTGCCAGAAAAATTACATTGAGGACAGAGTGGCTATACAAGGGCAATATTATTTCACAGGTGAGAAGAAGAAACTAATTTTTTTTCACTCCTAATCTCTTCTCACAAAACATCTCCCACTTTTTTTTTTTTTTTTTTTTTTTTTTGTGTGTAAGGGAGAAGGGAAAGCCAATCAACACAATTAATTCAATTTAATTAGTTATATCAATTAGATCAATTCAATTAATTAGATTAGTTCAATCAGGATAACACAATCCAGATGCTCTTACACATTCATCTTTCATTAAATAGGCTATTACCAATTCAAAAATACTTATTGAAATATCTCAATCTAGACAGGTTTCTCTCAACTTAACTCAGTGTAAGACAGATCTCTTCAGATGGAATATCACRATCTTAGAACCTGGACTTGTAAACATTTGCATACGTCCAACTCACAAGAGGAAACAATTCAGTGATATGCTTTTCCTGCATTTTCCTGCAGTGATATGCAAAACTGGTACAAGAAAACGCTTATTTTTGCTGTTACTTTGCTCTCATATGTGCTGATACCAATGTCATACTATAAATTCAATCATTAAAATACCTCCAGAACCTTCTAGGTCTGAGGAGAAGAAACTCTTTGGGGAATCAAGGTCTTATAGAGGGATAAAGGCACTCTTGTGAATCCTGGTTTATATACATCTTACTTTTCAAGACACCTGGATCAACAAAATTAAAAGTGAAACTAGAATGACCTTAACCTAGAAAGAAAGTACACACTCATCAAAACCCTATCACTGGCAATTATCTGCAGTAAGAGCATATCTTATTGAACTTATTTTGTGGCACCTACCTACTAAAAGAGAAGCTGTCAGCAATTTAGGATCATAAGGGCTTTTCCCTCGGCCATTTTCAAAATGTGAATCTTCCATTTTAAAAATGTTGTCCTGTGAGAGGGAAAAAGAAAGAAACATTATTTTTTGAAAGACACTAAAATTAACTTGAATTCAATAGAGAGCAGCGCATATGATTCAAACCAGTATTGTGGCTTCAGGGATGTGAACCCACACAAGGTAAGGATCTGGCAAAAGTGCCCACCTTCTAACTGATACTGTGYTGAAGCAAATCAAAAGTACAAATACACATTCACAGGTCTTGTCTCATCTACTCCATACATAGTTTTCACAGTTTCACTGAATTCTATCTGCCCTCAGTAAGAATACTGTCCGCATAGTATTTACTGAAGATGTTAATATTTGAAATTTTTATCTGAAAGAGATGAAAGACATGTTTAATTAGCTATACTTTTCTAAAGCATCTCTGAATATGGTTTTTATTAAAGGCTTCTTTAATTATATTATGTAAATACACATGTATGTGTGTGCACATGTATGTGTGTTGGATATTTTCAAAAGAACACCAAAAGGACTTTACAGACATTTACTTCAGAAAAAGATAAAAGGAAAATGGAGTGGTAGCATTGAAGTTGCACAGGGCTTACAGCACTCTAAGATGAAAAAGTTTGTGCACAGCTTGCTGAAGTTTGATCCCAAAGACTCAACCTCAGTCTTCTATGGCATGTTCATGTAGATGCACTCTGTCTGATTATGTGTATACAGTCATCCTGTGTCTGCAATATCTGGCATAATGCTGAATTTCTTACTTTTTCTTTGTCCTTGTTTTTATTTGTAATAGTTCAGACAAATTCCTCACTCCTATCCAATTTTATGACTTTGCTCCTTCAAATGAATAAATAATGAAAAAAAAAATCACTTTTGATTTTCTGCTGTAGGGGTCTGTATCAAGATTTTTCACAATAAATAAAAGTAGTTAAGAGTGAAGAGATCTCAACTTCAGTAATAGAAAATGGCACTAATGTTACAAGTCATTATTTGAAAAATGTTATCATCAGTCTACATTTTCTTGGGATTTTTTCTTACTAGATGATAATTGCTCTACTTGCACACCAATAGATATTTCATAAGTCTATAAAGTCAATGGCAGGACTGTTAAAACAGAATATATTCCTAAAATAAGCCCATCTGTCATTATAAAACAAAGAAGAAACAGATGTGAACAATGATTTGATGTAGGAAGGATCTGATTTTTGACTATTCTTCTGGTTTATGTCACTGTGACTGTACTGATATCGATGTGCAACAGGCTAAAAAGTGTGGAGAATCAGATCAGCATAAGACACAACCTTATACTTCTCTTAGGGTACCCTTCCCTTTATTCTCTTGTGGAATAAACCATTTGAAATAACAGAAATGACAAGGAAATTACACCACATTTTCATACTTCAGTTTAAAGGTAACTAGAGGCACATGCAATAAGCTTCCAAATATATTAGCAAGTAATAATGGTAGCTATATCACAGTTAGCTACCAAGTAGGTTTACCATGGTCAGTTTGAAGCCTCAGGGTAATTTTAAGAAACATGCTAAAAGAAGCCTAACTCATCCAAATACTTCTTTGGGTGCAAAAGTAAAATCATTCTTGTCTACTGACAACAGAGACAACAAAGAAACTTTTTCCTAAGAAACTGCCCCCTTACTCTGCAATTAATAAAACAAAAACAATTAGGAAACAAAAAAGAAGAGTGAGTAGGAATGACAGACACTTGTTCTTGCCTGTGGCTTACACACCCRAATCCTGCCCTGGAGATGTCTTGTAAGTGGGAGACAAGATGAGAAACTAATGAGAGGATTTGAAGGCAAAAACTCATCCCTGCATTATCTCTAAAACATTTATTTGATATTTTACCCAAAGAGTCAAGTTCTAGTATGCTGGCAATGAGGCCAACATGAAGTGTAAGTAAGTTGTCCTAACCACTTAAATTCCACCTGATAAGGCAACAGGGGACGTGAAGGTGAAGAAATGATTCAGGGGAGGGTAAAGTCAGTCTGCCTGGAGCTTGCAAAGCCCAAGGCTCAGTGTTTTTTGATTGGTGTCACCATGGTTTTCATTTGCACAAAAAAGCAGCAAGAACTTTCAGATGGAGACCATGCAAGTTATTTGCACTTAGAAAAGTTTTTGAACACTTAAAATGCTCCTGCTTCTTAGGCTTCATAGCCTTGGGCTGAATGCAGAGTCCTATTACAGTGACTCAGCAGACCCATTGGTCATAAAAAGATTAGGCTCACAAACAGCTCCCTATTTTGCAGCCATGTGAGGACTATTATATAACCAGGAACAGGAATTYATGACAAAGCATTATTTTTGCAAGCACCTCCTCTGATAGTGGAGGAAATTCTCTAGAAATCTGAAAAGAGGAAAGGAGAGAATAAAGAAAAAAATAAGAAMRAAAAAAAATAGATGTTCAAATAAAGATCACTGCAATTACTATTAAGGCCAACTTATTCTATAGAACACCTCTTTAAGGGCTTTGGCAACACAAAGGGACATTACAGTATATTTCAAGACTCTCAAGGGATCTACCAGATAAAAAACCAGTTCTGGTGTATTTTAGTTAGCTGGTACTTGAGTTCTAATATATTAGTTTACCTTAGCTAATATTTCTCTTTAATGCATATTATCTACCAAAAATGAGGGAAGTGTTCAGGTCCTAAATTTCAGTATGTGGGACAGATGTTGCTTATACGATGGTGCACTGAAAATTCCACCAATTCATAGTGACAACAACTGACAGCAAGCTGAAACTACCATGCCATGATACTAAGGACCTCCTCTTCCCACCTCAGCTTGTGTTACAGCATGAATCATGGTCCACCTAGAAAGCTTTGCATTGCAAGCTAGCATGCCACAAACTTTTCATCCTACTTCTCAGTCCTATGAACAAGGATTTCCTGTAGCACATGGTGCAGTAGATGGCAAGTCTAAGCCAGAAAGAACTACAGTTCAGTCTTGGAACAAATGTACAATTTCTTCTGATTCCCTCTCTTCTTTTAACCCATGATCTGCCATTTTAAGGTTATAGAAATTAATTTCCAAGTTCCAGTTCCAAGGGCTGAAACAATGCCCTACATCATGGCATTAACTGTTGAAATGACACTACTACTTGAGAATAATTTCTTCATGGCTAGCTACTGAATAACCTCAGCCTGCCAGCACGATATCAGTGTGATATACATATATATGTATAAAATATATACATACATACAAACACACACTACGTTAATATGTAAGTACACCCAGTATGATAGCTTTTGTAGCAGACTTGGTGTCTATCTCAGAAGCTAAACAGTCCAGAATTGTCTCAAACAAACCAGAAGATGACAGCTTAAACTGGGTGGTTTTGGTGAAGATTTTCTTATATATTCTTTCCCAGTTTGGCACTATTTCTGGCTTATGAGAAAGCCTGTGATTGGTGGCAAAGAGCTAAGCTACTAGGAGGTTCAGCAATGCCTGCTGAAATTCAGGGTCATTTCTTTTAATGAAAGTTTTCTGGCACTTCACACAGAAACCATCCTAGAATTTCAGAACCTAGCACAGCAAAATTGCTGCCAATCTATAATGAATTAATGCAGAGCAAGCAGATCATCTGAAGACACCGTGTTGATGGAGTGTGTACAGCTACTAAAAAAGTATTACTGGTTTAGATTATAAGGCACGGAAGACTTAGAATGGTTTGACAGAAATGATGCTCCCCAGCTGCGTTAGTGCAGCTGATGGAAGTCATATCCTTACTCTTTGTAACCCCTCAACCATAAATAGAAAGGAGCACATCTCCAGGGTGTCTTCCAGGGGCTAGTCGATCATCAGGACAAGCTGACGAATGATAATGTGGGATGGTCTAGAAACATCCAGGATGCCAAAAGCTTCAGGAACTTGCACATCTTTTGTTTAAAGGAAAAAAAAAAAAAAAAAAAAGGTAGAGTTGGCCACAGCTGTGAACATTATTGATGTTCACATTTCCCTTGCTGTTCTCACAGACTCTGTTCTACTTTCATGAAACATAAGACAAATAGATTGCACGGGGAAAAGGTAAGCGAAGGGGGAAAAAAAAAAAAAAAGCAAGCCAGAGTGCACACAGTATGATAACGCAGTTGGAAGGAGTATCTGTTTGGAAGACTTTAGGGCAGATGGAAGTGTCTCTTAACTGAGCCAGAAAGTGCTGGCACTGAAATATCAGGTTCTGTATATTATACAGCATGAGTGAGAACAACAGCAAACTAAACAGAGGCATTATTCAAAGTTTTCAAATTCAAATATTCAAATTTCCACCCTTCTCACAATCAGCAGAAAGCAACAGGTTCTTCTGAATGGCAAGCTGGATCAACAAGACCTGAAATTCCCAAAGACAAGACGTCTCATCATTGATTACAGAGGAACCTTTAGGTGTCTCAGGGAAGTGAGACCATAGTAATACAACTCCGAGCTAACAATTCTGCACTGAACTCTGCTGGGGCAGCGAATCAGAGACTTATTTCTTGTAGGACAGAAGCTGGTATTTTCATTGTTCCCCTCACCCGCTATACATAATTTCAATTTGATTTTCCTCTTGTCTTATACAACTTTGCGTGCACACAGTTTATGACTATATCAAKAATTTTCCACAGAATCTTTTAAACACATTTCACTCTATGAAGAATGATTTATTTTTGAATTGTGTTACTTTTCAAGAAGAATTTTAAGGGTAACAACTATGTGTGATATGGCTATGTTCTTGCCATTATATTTCCTATTTCACACTTAATCTATTGAGTCACGAAAACTCTTAAATATGAGGACTTTGGTTTCAGTGTTGGGAATCATACTGTTATGGAACTTTTAATAAGCAACTTTTATTAAAGTCATCCCAGTGGAATGCTTCATTTTTTTTTCTAAGTGTAAGTGCAAATAAATATAATGTGAGAAATTATGCATAAAAATATTAAAATAAATGTCAGTGTTGAGGCAAGTGGTAACCATTGGGGAAAAAGGTGAAAAGTAATTGAAGCAATAAGGCAACTGCTTTAAATCTCTCTCTCTCTCTCTCTCTCTCT